CATTACTTATGCCTGTCGCATGATATTGTAACAGGGCTCACGGGCTAAATATCCAGCTGCTGCATTAGAGCACCAGTCGATCATGCACAATCGATATACGAGTCATTACTGTCCGGATTCACATCCAGTTCGTGTGCAGCTTGAAAGGCAATTTCCATTCCTATGTCAATGTCATAAAAACATCAACTCAGTTTTAAACCTTCACGTGCAGAACAATCAAAACGACCTTTGTTAATTAGTATTCCAAAAGAAAAGACCATATGGCAATACTGCACGATTTATGTCCAGGACGATTTCGCTGCATCTCAAGATGGTGCATACTACAGAAAATACAATGTTTATATAGGGCTTTAGCATGGCAACAAAGTAAAGCGAAATACATTAACAACAGACAAAACACAAAAGAGGGAGGGGTAAAAGGACCAATATCACCAGAGTAGGGAGAGAGTAACATAAAGTTGTTTTTGCTGACACGGGGAGTCTTCCATCGATTAATCGCAATCGCTTCAGCAAATCTTAGTGATCTTGCGACTTGTGACTTGTAGACTGGTTTCAGTTTTCTCAAATCTCGTCTCCCGAAAACCACTGTTCGGTCTCTCGACGACCTAGTTAAGTTGAGATGTAAGATTGCAGTGATTCGAGTCCGCATCGGTTTCCTCGAGCAATGTGTGGCATGCAACAGTTATCCCGTTTCATTTTATAAGCTTTTGAGGTCCAATAATATTTGCGCTTCTCGTAGAAATTTACGCTGTATGACGTTGTGTCACATTGATGATGCCAAAGAAAGACTGGTTGCTCTAAAATCCACTTTCATTGACCAAGCGGTAATTCTGGACGAATTGAATCTCTTCTGTCGAATCAAGCATGCCAACTTCTGAGCTGATGCTGTTCGGAAAACAAGATTTTGTACTATAACAAGGCTCCAGAAATCCCTAGTGCACAAACTAGCCGATAATTCATTCCCGAGAAAACTGGAGAAATTTGTTACGAATCTGTCATCTGTCGAGCTAAATCAGCTTCAACTCCAAGCACTTTCATGTGGCCTTCGCTTTTGTGTTGCGCCTAAGAAAATCAACAGCATTGAATCGCAGAAACAGTTTGAATATTTTTTCGAACAACTGAAAATGCCGAAAGCAACCTCAAAAGATGCAGAGTCGTGGATAAAAGCGAAACTGGTTGACTTGGAGAGTCAATACCGAATAACACCATCGAGACAAAAGTCACTTCTCACTCCCGAGTATTTATCCGCTTTAAAAGAATCAAAGGACAAGTCCGATTTGGTCATTTTAAACCCTGATCTTTATCAGGATTCTGGGACTGTCCTGATGGACCGTGCAGATTACCAACGACAGATGGAATGTATCCTCAATGACCCCAGCAAGTTCTTACGAGAAAAAGCATACGATGACCCCAAAGCGCTGGAACGGAAAATTGCTTCAGAAGTTCAGTTTCTATTAGAAGGACAGTTCATCGATTCGAACACCGCGCGGGGCCTGAAGCCGAGAGGAGCCCAGGTTCCCCAACTTTATGGCCTGCCGAAACTCCACAAGCCAAGTGTGCCACTCAGACTAATTCTATCCATGACGAACTCACCACATTACAAAATGGTGAAATGGCTGGTTAAGGTGTTAGAACCAGTTCATAGATCGATGGTCAAGCAAACAGTCAAGGGCAGTTTTGAATTGGTGGATATTTTGAACAAGATCAACATAGAAGGAAAACACATGGCTTCCTTCGATGCTCAATTTCTGTTCACCAATGTATCAGTTCGTGAAGTCATACAAATCATCTGCGATCATGTAGAGAAAGAAGATATTCCACTGTGTCTACCGGTGTCCGTCCTTGAGCGTCTACTACTGCTCTGCACAACCGACGTGTCTTTCTCTTCTCAAGGAAATACGTACAGGCAAATCGATGGTGTCGCTATGGGCAGCCCGCTAGGCCCAGTCCTGGCAGACTTGTTCATGGCACATTTGGAAGGAAAAGGAACTAATATTCTGGGGCGCGCTATCCTGTACAAAAGATAAGTCGACGACACACTGGTTACAACAGAAAGCTTAGAAGAAGCTACGAAAATTATGGATGAAATCAACAGACTACATCCAAGTATACACTTCACAATGGAATATGAATCCAACAACGCACTCAACTTCATTGACATTAGTATGACCAGAAGAGTCGACGGAACGATTGCTCGATCCGTTTATCGAAAGGAAACGTGGACAGGGCAATATTTACAGTTCGAGAGCTTTATGCCCCTGGAGTATAAACGTGATCTTGTTCGGACCCTATTTGACAGAACGAGGTGCATCTGCACGGAAGACAGAATTGAACAAGAACTGCAAAACGTCCGGGAGTTTTTAGCAAAAAACGCTTACCCCGAAGCGTTTGTTAACAGCATAGCAAACCGAAAATTGCGAAAGAACCGATTGCGTCAGTTCCCAAATTGCGGGTCACATTGCACCATCAACTCAAAGGTGATGATGTAAGCCACCTGATCTACAAACGACTGAGGTCAGCAAGACCACGTCCTCAGCCATTGCTCGACATCTGCTGATGACGCAACAATAGGTCGACCGAGGTACAGATTTTCGCATTGACCACAAGTCACAAGTCGCAAGATCACTAAGATTTGCTGAAGCGATTGCAATTAATCGATGGAAGACTCCCCGTGTCAGCAAAAACAACTTTATGTTACTCTCTCCCTACTCTGGTGATATTGGTCCTNTACCCCTCCCTCTTTTGTGTTTTGTCTGTTGTTAATGTATTTCGCTTTACTTTGTTGCCATGCTAAAGCCCTATATAAACATTGTATTTTCTGTAGTATGCACCATCTTGAGATGCAGCGAAATCGTCCTGGACATAAATCGTGCAGTATTGCCATATGGTCTTTTCTTTTGAAATTAATCTCTGGTGAGGCTTGTTTCAGTTTTCTCTAATTAGTATTCGTAGTTAGATGTTTGTTCCCCTGTTTCCATTAGACTACTCATGAGGAAAATTCAGCGTTTATTTTCCCAAGGGTTGGACTTTCGTTTATTGTACATCTCATAGCTTCTATAGTCATGAACTTTATATTTTCGGATGACGTATTTACCGGATCGTTATTGTTGTGACTTCTATATGTTTATTCGTAAGGTTGCATTTTCCCATTGACATAAAACGCTTCTGAGCGCTTGTTGTACGGGTAAACTCTGTTGCCAGCAGGACTCTTACTATGGACCACCCCGCGGTTGACACCCGCTACTCCCACACCATTTACGTTTTAATCGTCCCTATTTATTCCTTATCCCAATGCTACCCTCTAATACGCATACCTTTGATTAACACCACCTTTTAGCATCATATTCCGATTTGCTCACATTTACTACACTTCATCCCAATCCAATGTAATTTCCTTCTCTATCGTTTTATGCCGGAACTAAAGAGTATTCTAAGTCTTTTCTGTACCGTACCACAACCTCTTCCAATTTGAATTTCACTGCTGCGTTACTGTTACGCTTAGCTGTCTGTCTGATAGACCTTGTTCCTATCATCACTGTCACGGACTGTTACCGCCGCCCTGTAATTTGGTTGCTCATCCGGCTAAACAGAATTCATCCCATTGTTGATAAACACTGCTACTTTGTTGCAGTTCGTTCCGCTACCCGGGGCCGTGATCTGCCCATATCGTGGGTATAGCTATAGAAATTAAGTTACCGAAGAATTCCAGTCTGCTGAGGCGTGACAGCACAACCATTTTGATCATGTATACGGAACGGCAATAGACCGATAATGATCACAACGGTCAGAATTTTAAGAGAAACTCAAAGTTCCACAGTGAAATTTTCTGAGTATGGATTCTGAATTCGTCAATCTTCATCGCTTAAACCATACAATCCCATTAGGGTACTCTTGCCAGCTGCAAGAGCAGTAACATACATATATATCATTGGTGCTATCTCGAAATCGCCCCTGATAAATGAATCAGTTTTGGTTCTGAACTCACTTTCCCTTTGCTCCGGTAATGAGGAAATGCATCATATATTACCAATTAACCAAATAACCCCCTCCCCCCCCCAAAAAAAAACCTCACTGTATCTGACTTCCGATTTTGGAAGCCTAATGTGCTCAAAAATAGCATGTCTAATAAGGATAATATTGTATCGATAATTTAGGCACATCCAGAATTTTACATCAACTGTTATCATATTTGTTTACGAGGTTTCGTACAGTCATTTCCCATGCTTTGTTTTAGGGTACATCACCGTGTCAAAAATAGGAGTCTTGTCAGATCCTGTATGGTATGCACGTCTCTCGAATAACTGACTGCAATGCTGACATCACTCCCTGACAAGTGATCAAACACATTCTTGGCTCTCCAAAACTATCTAGACGCATACCTTCCCCACTCGACATTCTGCGTCATGTGGTGGCACACACACGCACGCACGCACGCACGCACGCACACACACCTATCTGTTCTGTGCCTCAATTGTTCAACTGAGTACACGATTGGTTTTTCTTTCTCTTTCTCTGTTTCAGTTGCCAGTTTTTTGGGCTGGCAGATGTGACGGGAAAGAGGCTTGGTTACTAATTGCAGGGCGAAGTGGAATGCAATCAGCTCACGAGCCACAGCCAGACATGGCTGAAGTGGCGTGCGTACGTGTTATTGTCTCGTTTTGAGCTCCCCAGGTAGAATATGATTGATGCACTTCGTTGGAATACAAGGTGTAATCATTTTACAATAAAACATCAATAAAAAGAACGAGAAAAGTAACACTGAATGACCGGTTTTTCATGGTAATCTGTCAACACAATCAGATCCAAATCCCACTTCTGTTAATTAATCGACTGGCTGAGCAGCCCGTGAGAGACATTAAGGGCTTTATGTAAATTTCGTTTGACAGTGTAGGGCATATGCACAGAATTCACTGAGATTTGAGCCCGGACGCCATAGTTTTTCAATGCGACTACCAAACTATCATCTGGTTCACTATCGGTTAGCCTCACGTCTGTGCTCAACGTCAAGACCGCTTGCCAGCTAACAGCTGAGGACAGAGTAGATTCCCAGTAGAGTTTCACATGAATAAACGTGAAGTTACTGATTTTCGGTTTGCACTTCGTTGCATAGGCAATCATATCCACACAGCCAAATGAGGACCAGCTTTTGGTCAAGAGTGTGAATGGAACACAAACAACCAGATTTCACCATTACTTGCAAATGACAACAGTCTTGGAGAATTTTTGCCAACTGTGTAAATCACGAAACCCCGTGTATCCTAAAAGTGAAGGGATTTAAAAAGTGTGTTCCAACACTGTTGAGGTATTTTCAGGTATTGTGAAGCCCAACGGGCGGTCACTAAGTCGATGTTACACTAAAAAATAATTTGTCTGCTTAGAAGGTTTATTTATCACCAAAAGTGAGCACTGATTGAAACTGGTGCCCGAGTGTGCACCAGATAACAAAAAACAAGGTTCACTTTTAGTAGAAAGAGTAGAAAGAGAGATAGTAAACCCTTTAGCTTGCAGAGGAGAACGACAATTTAGCTACTGTGAAAGTTACTCCAGGGTTCTTCGGGTTTGGACCTCAGACCCGACTGACACCAGATACACCAGTTCGGTTTTCACAATGGGTAGCAGTCTAAAATCTACACTTTTGACGCAAGTTCCGATTTAGGGACCTTATGGTCTGTTGCTAACATCAAACAATCAGAAATGAATTTCATGTATAAAGTTCCGGTTAAAATGTCTGCAATGCGTGGCCAGTTTATTGTTCAACGATTTAACGTCATGAGTAATAAAAGAGTGGAATCCACTGGCGGTAAATATTTACTGTTATGCAAACTGACAATGGAACTCTTGGGACTTGGCGTCGAGAAACAGCCAGGGTTCAGTTTTAGAATAAACTTGAAGTTGAGCCAATCGACGGCGACGATAAGCTGGCAAGAATATCATCGAGTGATAGTATCAGAGCCCCAAGCTTAGACGAAAAGCTTAGGTGAAAATTAATCCAACTGCTTATTTATCACTTTTGTGGTGAGTTCATACGTGTTTCAAGGGCGAATCCGGCTGCTCCCATCACATTCTCATCGTTACATGGTATTCTGTGTTGCACTTGTCAAAAAGCGCGTAAGATTAAAGGAAATCGATTGAGTGATTCATAAATGGCTATTAAAATGGAGCGTTCAAACGTTCACTGGACGCACGTGAGTAAAATGGGCAGGGTGCACGACGCACAACTCAGTTGACTAAATGTGATCTTATTTAATGAGCACGAGAAGAAGCGACCAGTCAAAATACAGCCCGATGGAACACTCATCAAATCGAGGTCACAAGCTTATTGGCTCATGATTACTTCGTCCCTGTACAATCGATCAGTACTGTAGTGCCTGCTGCATGGATAAGTATACGAGGACGTGGGAAAACTGCCACTTGGAATGATTGTAAATCGGGGGTAATAATATCTGTCACATGATTCGATAAATCAATTCGGATTTTCCCCACTTACTTTGGTCTGTTTCGGAGAATCGGGCTGAATACTAGCTGGTCCATTTACATGCTCCCTAAGCTGATAACTCTAACCGAGATAAGAGCTCAGAACTGCCAAATTAGCCGACCAATTTGAGTAGCTAGTCACAAGCCTTAAAATGGTTCACGGATTTTGATTAGACATGTAACAAAATACCACCACGAATCTGAATGTGCTCCATGTTGTGCTGTACTGAAAGCAAGGTTACAGCAGTGAAGTTTTCTCTTATTCACAGAATCAATATTCAGAAGGACGGTCAAAAATGGATGACCTGGAAGCTTTTCAACTACCAAAAGTACGAAATACTTTAACGGCTGTCTGTTTATCGTCGACGACGTCGAGCGTAATAACCGCATCCACTTAGAAGATAAAGCCCGGATTAGTCGATCGTAAAAGATGTTTCCGATGACTGATGGTACAACTAGGACTTCTCCTCGGCTTGCCAGGCTCAATAGAGTCGATATTGAACTACATAGGCAAGGAAATCTGAACAGGTGCCACTCAAGTACACAGCAGGAT